TGAAATTCGAGAGTTTTCTACCTTGTACATGATAAGAACCTCTGTAAAGTTTTCGCATCTCCTCTATGATTATTTGAAGCAGTTGATTCAAGAAGTTGCATGAAGCAGTTTACAGCTGAAGTATCAATTTTCTGAGCAATTATGTTTGCTACTTTATTTGTTGCAATAGTATAATTGTAAGTCCAAAACTGGTTTGACCCTTGATTATGACAGAAAGCAACAAGCATTATACTGATCCCAACAATGGATAGTGGTGGAAACACGAGCAGAGAAAAGGGATTTCCATTGACAAGCATCTAAACTAAAATTCGTATAACATGCTACAAAATGGTGCACTTATGCAGTTTATCTTGTCCAAGCCTCCTATAGTAGCCCAGTTATCTGCATTCCATGTGCTAGAAAGTACTTACATTGGCCTGTCAATTGGAAAAGAAATTGTTCGTCTGATTCGCGTTCTTGTATACCCTTATTGGAACCTTATTCATAAAAAATCTGCATTCAAAAGAGTATTGATCGTCATTAACTATACCTTAATCTCAAATATGTTGTGCTTAGGTAAATTTGTTCAACATGAAACTTTTTGTTGAAATTATAGTACACAATGGAAGTCCAGAGTAGGGTCACACCAGAGAAAATGCCCCATCTTACATTCATCACTGCCATTATTGTACACAATGGTCTGAATAAGATAAGGCTGTGTTGTTCTGTTTCCGAAGAGATTTTGAGAAGTCTTGAAATGAGTAATAGGACACATTTTACTGAAGTTGTTTATCACCAATGAGAGAGCACCAACAGGACAGTAGCCAATTCCATACAGAAACTTCAGTTGAAGAGCACGGTGTTTACACAGTTCCTACCAATATATGAGCAAAAGCAAAAAAAATACGCGACTTTTAGAAAGAATGGAGATATTGACAGAGTTTATTTAGATTACATTATAACAATCTTATTTGCTAATGTCATCAAGCTGGTGTTGTGGGATTTTTTATCTGTAAGCATATATATTTCGAATAATTTATATATTTTCATCATCACATAAGTTGGAACATCAGTTCAAATGCACTGTATCACCTAATTAAATGTTCCTATAAATTATTTTACCATTTCCCTTCTGCAATTTTAATCTTTCTTCATATTTTTTATCTTTATTTTTTCTCCTCCGAGATTTTAATATATAGTAGGTCAATGTAATTTCTTGCTAATTTTTAGTTAAAAAATTTAAGGAATGTCTAAATGCTTCGCCTCAAATTTGATCATTGTACTTGTACCCCACTGCAGGAGAAAAGCTTAATTCATTGAATAATTTTGTCAGACACCTAAG